TTGATATTGACCTATATATATGTGTGAGTCTGTATAGCAAGCAGATGGACAGTGTGAGAGTGAAAAGCTCCTCATATACCAGCCCATAGTGGTAAATGTATCAGTGATTATAGCTTCTTGATGCAATTGAAAGAGTCAGCTGTAATGAAACAACTTACCTGTGACTGGAGAAGTACTCAAGTTTTAAACCTTGAAAAATTCCATTTTGATATGCTTTTTGGTATGTTTTTATTTCTTTCATTTCCTAAAACTCAGAGCAATAAACAATCTCCACAACCATTAAGCATTAGCTATAGCTGCATTTTCTAATTTTTATTATCAGTTTGTACTAAATACTTATTAAAAGTAGTAACGGTTAAAAAATAGTTACATAATAAAAAAGCGGGGAATGGTGCAAAAAAGGGAAGAGAAGTAGGAGGGGTGGCTTAATTATAATATCATCAGCAGCATTTACATTTTTAAAAACTCTACCATCCAGGAAATAGTTTAAAAGACCTCATCCTGTGTAAATTTCTCAGATCCTAAATATGTCCTTTCCAAACATATAATTTTGCAGGCATGGTCATATAACATCTGTATGTAAAAATAAAACAACAGTAAAATCTGTTTTTTCTTTTTTCTTTTCTTTCTGGGTTTTTTTGCTTCCCCCCTATCTAATTTCCTTTTGTTTCCCCACGAACAAAAGGAATTGGCCACAGACTGACAAGGTTCTTCATGATTCTAAATTAATCCTCTAATTTATGGGGAAATACAACATTGAAGCCAATAAGAGAAAAGAGCAAATGTGAATAAGGATTTATCACTTTATATTACTTTGTAGTAATATAAAGTAATTCTCCTGAGAGATGTCAGTTACTATCTTGATTTGTTGTTCTGTTTTCCTTGAAGGAAGGCTCACCATCCAGAAGGCTGAGGGTAGCTGAGTGAATTTCATTCTATTCCCAACTAATTTCATTGAGTCAACACAGAAGACTGGTTAAGAGCACAGATTTAGGAGTCAGACAGACCTGAGATCATATCCTGATTCTGCCGATTATTAGCTGTGTGACCATGGGTAAGGAACTAAACCTCTCTGAGATTTAGTCTTCTTATCTGTAAAATAGTAACGATCAGAAACTTCCTCAAAGTACTATAAGGAATAAGTGAGATGAGTAGGAAGAATTTAACACAATATCTTATCCAGGGGTTTGCCGCTAAGTATTTTTCTATTTCCAAAATAATCATCTCATATTTTTTTAGCAACCACTGCGTGACAATTTCCTTTGACGTGAATTATTTCTAATTTTCACAGGAATGCTGGGAAAAAATCAAAACACCCTCATTTTACAGATGGAGAAATTGGCTCAGAGAGGTGAAGTGGCTTCAGTGAATATGTGACCAAGCAGGACCTGAAACCAACCCACCCAACATCAAAGCCTGTGCGCTTTCCACCAGTCTGAGGTGTCTACTCCTGTGGTCGATGTGTGTCTCAGTGTGGGACAAAGAAAAAGCCATGCAGCTTTGGAGGTCTGCAAACCTCTCAGTTTAGGATAAAACCCCCAATTATGCTTGAAGTTGGACCAGCTTTTGAAACCTCTACTGGACATTCTTTTCCCATCAAGTTCCTTGAAATGTCCCTTTAAAAAACATCTAGGAAAAGCCACTCTCATTAGCCAGAGTCTGACTTTATTTTCCTAATAAACAGACCTCTGGTAAGACAAAAGAGCCTCTTTTATTTTCAATCAATTATTAAACATTTCAGTGGATTTTCTTCTATTTGGCTTGAAATTGTGATCTGGGAAAGGCTGGTCCTGCAAATTGTCCTCCTATATAAAGGAAGCCCCTTGAGGATCCTCAACTTGTTATTTTTAATCACTGTAATCTCCTTTTCAAAGGAGGCCCTGGTCAGAAACAGAGCAGGCCTTTCAGAGCTTTCTAAAGCACAATTATTGCCGTTGGAGGGAGGGGGGACTGTGGGAAGAGGGAGGGAGAATAGAAGTGGTGGGAGAGAAAAGGAAATCAATATAATACTAACAACTTGGAAAAGACAAAATAATGATCTCAACTGGATTCAGGTTTTGGGGAAGAAACCCCATGTTTCAGTCTTTTTTTAATAGTGACCATTTTATTCCGGTCTAGAGTACCTAAAGACTATACTTAGACAGCAGGCACAAAGAACAGAAGCTGCTTGGGGATGAACTGGAATACTGTGGACAAAGATTTGAGGCAGGAAAACAAGTCATTGATTCCAAGGATTGTGAGGGATCCTAATTCAGGAAAAAATTAAAAAGCAAATAGAACACCAGGGGAATGCCAACTTAACAGCCTTAAGTCAGGACAATGAGCAGAATGTGTTCGAGTTACTTTTAACATAATTATTCTAAGAAAGAAGGAGCCAGCAGAAAATGTCACAAACTAGGCCAGCAACTTTTCTTTCAAACTTTGAGTGGCGGAATCAGGTTTGCTAATTGCAGAATATTTACTTGGAAAACATCAGCATGGTTCCTGCAAGATCTCTTTCAAGGTCTCTTAGCCATAAGAAGGGAGAAGAGATGATTGCCCAATCTATAGCCTGAGTTGGGGTGTCAAAGTCCAGACGGCTGTTTAGGCAGGAGTAGCCTGAAGGGTGAAAGTCCAGGACACTCCCTATCCAGTTCCCCACCTGCTGGCCCTGGACTTTTAGGTAGTTCTAAAACCTCTTTAGCCCGGTGAATACCAGCTGTATCTCCTTCCCAGTGTTAGGGCCACCAGCTGCCAATGCTCAACTAAAACACGGAGGATTAGTGTGAAAAGAGACACTGGGTACACTTGGCCTGAACCCCAGACTAGCCTAAGCCACTGAAACAATCCTCCTGGGCTTGGATTCGCAACAGTCTTAGCCAAGGCTCCTGATATGAAGAAATACCTCATTCATTAATTCAATTAATTCATGAGGACCCAAATAACCACCATTCACTGGTAGATGAATGGGACTGGAGGAGAGCTGAGGAAACCTGCTTTCAAACGCACACATGCTCTTCAAAAACAAAAATCTGATCAAGAACCTACCTCCATTAGTAAACCAATAAAGGCCTCACATTCAACTCTTACGCTTATTAGGCATCTCTTTTAGCTCAGGCACACTCACCTTTGTAAACTCATTTACTCCCTACCACCAAGAGAGGGTGGATAAACAGCTTTTTTGGTTTGTCTGTTTGGCTTTTTTTTATTTTTTTGCTAGGAAATAGGTGCAGAGAAATTAAATGACTTGCACAGGGTCACACAGCGAGTAAACCCAAGTCTGTTGGACTCCAGAGCCACTTCTTTCTCTGCTACGTGGAGCGGGGACAGTTTCCCCTGTGAACTCAGGTCCTCAGTTTTGGGGAGGGCTGAATAGGCCAGTGAAGTCACACTCGCTTCCCTGCGGTCCACAGGGAGGATCGGCCGCCTCCCGGCTCCACCGAGTGGCAGTCGCCGCCCGTCGGCGCAGCTCGCTCCAGCCAGGGTGCCAAGCCGCGCACTCCCTCCCGGGCTGGGAGGGGCGTTCTCCGCCCAAAATCTTTCTTTGTGCAGCTGCGCGCCGGGGTCAGATTATTCCTCGCAAAGTACTCAGCACGCCAAGGTGCCAAGGGCACCAAGGAGCCGGCTTGGGGTAGCTCAGGGTGGAGAAAGTCGGGGACACAAACCCGGGAAAGAGGGAAAAGCGCTCCAAGAAGGGTGGCCCCTGGCTTTGGTCTCCAGCGTGGCCCTGGCGCCCGCTGACACTGCCCCAAACTTTATCCTGTGTTGCTCCCACCGCTTCCGTCCAAGGCTCTCTGGGGAACTGGGAAGGCGGGGAGGAAAGTACAGCAGCTGGGAGCCCATTTGCCCCACCAGGTGCCCCAATGACCCACTCCTCCCTGCTTAGCACCAGAGCTGACGTATGAAGGGGCGAGGGTGAGGGGACACGCTCCCTGGCGGGACCCAAGGTGAGGCCAGTCAGGCTTCCTTCCCTTCTTGGTTACCTGTCCCCGACCCGGAGAGCGGCGGCTGCTGCACGGGGAAACGATGTCTGGGAGATGACCCTGCTGAGGAGCGAGGTGGCGGGCCTGGGGATACAGTCAGGCGTCTTCAGGTTGGTGCTAGTCGAGCTGCCTGTCCCGCCCAGGAGGCGCTCACCTGCTTGGACACCTCCTCCCTGAGCTCCCGAAACCCAGCTCTCAGCCAAGCAGCGTAGGCGCTACATCCCTGGGACGCGGAGACTCCGAGCTGCCGGAGCCAAGGTTCCCTGGCCTCCAGGGAGCAGGCCTTGGGCATCGGGGCTTCTCTTTCCATCTTCATCCAATTCCCCTTTCAGTTCGGAGCTTACCCAAAGGTCTTTGAGGACCCTGTCCCCACTGGGAACCTGTTCTGGAAACCCAAGATCCTCCATCTCGTCTGGGACCACGAGAGAATAATTTGGGGTTCTTTCCAAGGACCCTTTCGAGGAGCTTTAGGCTGTCCCTGCCCCTCCTTCTCGCGCCCCAGGACCGGTTAGGGAGAAGCCAAAGTCCCTTCTCCTGAAGAGTCCTATCTAGGGAAGCCGGAGTGGCCGTCCCGCCCGGGGCCGGTCTTTGAGAATCGGGTACCCTCTCCTTCAGGGCCAGAGTGGGGAAAGCTGGGGTCGCTGCCTTGCCCGGGACCCGACCAAGAGAAACCTGGATCCCCTCCAGACCGATTTGGAGAAAGGCGGGTTTACCTCCCTCCTGCAGACGGCCGGGGGAGAAGCGAGCCTCCCTTGCAGTCAGGCCGGCGTGACGCGTGGCTCCGCCTGGGAACCGCGCGTCGGAGACGCGGGCTGCCTCTCCTGGCTGCGGCCCCCGCGACGGCCCAGTACGCTGGCTTAGGATGCGCGCTGAGCTCTCAGCTGCAAGGGCCGAGGGCAGCCAGGACAGAAGGGCCCTTGCTGGGCTGCACCCGTGCCGCGCGCCCGGAGACCGCGCGCCCTCCTCCGGCACCGCGAGGTCGGCGCCCTCCGGGGACCGGGTCCCGCGCTCCCAACGCCACACCGGGCGGCCACTTACCGCGGTAGCTGGTTCCCGGCTTATAGAAGTCGGGGTCGCCCTCCACGCGGAGGCTGAACTCGGTGTAGCCCTCGCGACGCGTGCCCTGGGCGCGCAGGATACGGCTGCAGTAGCCCTCTGACTTGGGCACTTTGTCCAGGGTCTCGTCGGAGAAGGCCAGCGCCGCGGCCAGGGGCAGCACCAGGGCCAGCAGTGCCGGCGTCCGGCTCAGCTTCAGGGGCGCCAGGGACAGCCTCATCCTCGCGGCCCCCAACTTTGTGCCGAGGCCGCCGGCCTTGGCCACGCGACTCCTGCCCGAAGTGGTCTCGACGAAGGCGCGACCTGGCGGAGCCGGGGCGGAGAGAGGGAGCTCGGAGCCGGCGTCGGCGACTCGGAGACCGTGCCAGGCTCGGCTTGGCGGCCGCGAAGCTGCGCTGCGCTGCGCTGAGCTGAGCTGAGTCAAGCGAACGAGAGCAGCGCGAGGAGGGGAGGGCCGCGGCGAAGGAGCGGGAGGAGGGAGGGCTGATTTTGCCCAGATCCCCCAGCGCAGCGCTGTTTTGTTTCCTCCGAACTGGCGATTAGCAACGCGGCCGTGTTTATTTTGCGACATTGGGTTCCCAGGGTCTGACGAAGAAATCATGGCATACCGGACACTGTGGGCTCTGTCCCATCGCCTAGGAGGCTGCTGCTCCAACCCCCAGCTACACTCCGGACCCTCTGGAGGACGGTGCTCAGAGGAAGGAAAGCCTGAGAAATAACTTTTGTAGCACACCTGCTCTGTGCCCAGCAATATGCTTGGCGGCTTACTTACTGTATCGACTCACCTTCATGTTTCCTACTCCCAATAAAGATTGCATTACTTTCACTCACTTTATAGATGAGCAAACTGAGACTTGCGACCAGTTACTGCAGGATTAGATGCGGCGACTCCGGGCCCATTGCTCTTCCCAAGGCCATATTGGAACATGTCAGACTGGAGGCTGAGAAAGGAGAAACGACTTAGCTACAGAGGTTAGGGCCCACGATAATTTTGGAGATCTATGAAAATGTTTTCTTTAAAAATCAGAAGAAAAAAGTTTAGGTCAAACAAAATGTTTCACTGTATAATGTTAATATATTTGTATTTACACCTCTACAGTCATAAAATATGCTTAAGCTGGAGGAAGGAGCCAGCAAAGGCAAAAGTGCTCAAGGCTCAGGAAGGTCCTCCTACTGCCCGGGAAAGGAGTTTCAAAAGATTCAATGAAGAGCCTGTGTTTTCTTGGCTTACATTTTAGTTCAGATTATCAGTCCCCAGGGACAGATGTTCAGAGAGGTGCTGAGCCTGAGGGCCTGAAGGGAAAAGACCCGGGGCAAGAATCTCTCCCAGTGTCTCTCTGGGGAAGAGACCCAAATCAAACCTCAGTCCTGCCACTCACCCATTGTGAAGCTTGGGCTAGTTACTGCACTCTCCAAACTTGTTTCCTGCTCTGGAGAACAAGGGAGTGGGGGTGGGTGCCAGTACATCCTTCCTAGAGGTAGTGGGGGGATATGCTAGAGTTGAATGATGACCCATATAAAAGACTCGAGCTGGTCTCTAGTGGCGCCCGCTCCCTCACCCGCTTGGGGATACCTTAAGCCCCCTGCCTCTCAGTGCACACAAGCATCCCTCCCCAGGTGCCCTCAGAAGCTTTGGTTTCCTCTTCTTTTTGCCCAGGGCCTTCAACACACCTTAAGTGCCTACAATTAGCAAGCAATCTCCTTTGCTTTCCGGGTCAGTGTTTTCTCTTTCATAACGCTACAAACAGGCCCAGGGCGCCCCCTGTATGGGAGGTCCGCCCTTCCTCCCTGCCTGCCCACTTACTCAGCAGTGCTTGTGCTGGAATTCCCACTGCCACTATTAACTGGGTGCCTTCTCTCAGAGGTCACCTGAGAGTAACCCCTTGCTGAAGCCAATTATGCTCCTCTCATCCCTTGCCCTTCTCGACCCTCGCAGCACCTAATCCAGCTGATCGGCCCTCCTTTTTGAGGTGAGGCTCAGATCCACGTCTAAGTGCTGAGGGAATTGTCTGCATCTTCACTCCACTGGCTCAGCGCTCATGCTGCACTCCAAGTTGCACGGTCCCATCCATCCAGCAAGCTTTCATTAAGTGTAGATTTGGAGCTAGACTCCGTGCTGACCAGTAGGTAGAAGAGGCAACAAAAATTCATCCATCCATCCATCCATGCATCCATCTATCTGTCCATTCATTCATGACAAAGACCCTCCATGTACTCAGTGCTTGGATAAAAAAAACATAGATATGTTACTTGCCTTTAAGGATTTTACACGCCTGTGGCAAAGGCAAATATTAAATACATAATTATATGAAACTTTTCAAATGATAATTGTGATGTGTGCTACAAAGTAAAATAAGTGGTTCTTGAAAGTGTACCCGATCTTATCTCAGAGGGCAAGAAACTACAGAAATGAATAAATTGTGACCCCTGTCTTCACGAAGCTTATGGTATGTCTGAAAGCTCAAATCTGTGCTCTTGAACCTCTATTCATCTACAAAAGGTTCAAATCTAAGTTGGAGATGGGTGGGCATGAAGTAGGCAGGAATGCAATATTTAACTTTACGTTGGATATTGACAGGAAAACTATGTGAAGTAGGCAGCCTCAATTCACCTCTGCACTCCCATTTTTCAGATTAGGAGCCTATGATATTACCTGCTGAGATAATGTTCCATGGCTATTAAGGGAAAGAGCCAGGATTTAAAACAGGCATCCCCAACACCAAATGAGGTACTTTCCAGTACACAGTGTTGGCCCTACCATCTGGGCTATGACAGCAGGCTCTAACCAGCTCACCAAGCTCCAATCCCAGTACATGAGCCAGGTTTTCCTAAACCAGCTTGGCTGTCACTCACACCTCTGCTCTTTTCTCCACTCATCCAATCCATCACCACACCAACAGTTTCACGCTCTCCTCCACCACTACTCCAGTCCGTGTTGACATCCTCTCTCATCCTCCTAACTGGGTTGCCCTTGTCTACTTGTGCTGTTCTTCCATCTGTCTTCTGCACTGAAGCCCAAGTGATCTTTTTAAAAATGCAGATTTGAATGTCAATCCTGAGGTTAAAATTTTTTCTCAGTGGTTTTTCAGGGCTCTCAGAATAAAGATAGAATCTTTAGCCAGGTCTCCATGGCTCTGCTTGATCTGCCTCTCCAGCCATGCAGCTCTTCTCTTTGTCTGTGCTGTTCTGTCTGCCTGGAATCCTATCATGCTCTTTGGTCTCTCCTACCCACCACCCTCCACTGGCCAACTCCTATGCACTCTTCAGATCTCAGTGCAAAACTGCCTCCTCAAAGAAGACCTTTCTGGTTTCCTAGAAGAGATCCAGCCACTAAAACTCTGCTGGAGCTCATGAGTACCTTTTCTTTTAATCTCCTTCCTCCTCCTCCTCCTCTTCCTTCTTCTTCTTCTCTTCTTCCTCTTCTTCTTTTTCTTCTTCTTCTTCTCTTCTTCCTCTTCTTCTTTTTCTTCTTCTCCTTCTTCTTTTTCTTCTTCTCCTTTCTTCTTCTTGAGGCAGGGTCTTCCTATGTTGCCCAGGCTGGTCTCAAACTCTTGGGCTCAAGAAATCCTCCTGCCTCAGCCTCCCAAAGTGTTGGGACTACAAGCATGAACACCTGGCTTCTTTTAATATTAAGATTTATAAGGACCTATTCATTTATAAGTTTGATTTTTAAAATTTTATATTTGTTCAGTCTTTGTCTCCATTCTAAATTCTAAGCTCAAGAATGTCTGTGGGGCTTACCACTGTATTTTCCATGCACACATAGTGCCTGGCTCATAGTAGGGGCTCCATAAATATTTTTTCCCTGAATAAAAACTTTTTAACAAGCCTACCCTCAGTGCCTTCTGACTCAGCCCAAATTTTAAGACTTGGCCTCCAAGGCCCTCCATGTTCTGGTCTCACTGTGTCCATCTGGTCATGCCTTGTCATAGATCCCAATCTGAGCTCCCAACACCACCCAGCTGGGCTCCCTGTGTCCTCCACTTTCAGTATTGCCTCAGCACCTTTGCTTACAGCTTTCTCATGGCCTGGAATGCCCTCCCTCCTCCTGCCTGTTTAAATTTTCCTCCATAGAATGAGATCCTGCAGTCTCCCCTCCTCTGGACTTCAGTAGAACTGAGGAGAAAAAGTTTCCTATTTCGACTATTGTGTTCCAGTGAATTGTCATGAACTATTTCTTGTGTCTATTTCTCATCTCCTAGCAATGAATCCAGTTTACTTTCCCCTTAATTTCCTGTTCAGATGTTTTGTTCTTTTGTAAAATATACTGGACTTCAAGAAATCTCCTTCTAGTGTTGTAGCCTAAGGCAGAGCTGATGTTAGTTGCTACGGTGTTGCTAAGGAAAGTCATTTAGCCAGGGCAGATAATTAACTTTATCAGTGTGTGTGGGTAGGTCGCAGAAGAGAAGAGCTGGGGGCTCCAGTTCTCCAAGAGGAAAAAAGTCCTTTGATTCATAGGAGGTAAGATCTCCCTCTTTTTTCCCCCCCTTTAAGAGAGAAGGGGGAAAAGGATTTTCTAGATTAGGGTTTTTCTGAGTTTGGTCACTGAAACATGAGCCTTAGATATTTGCTTCAAATGCAAATTCCGAAACCTCATCCTAGACCTACTAAATCTGTACTTTGAAAAAACTCATACTAAAGTTTAAGGAACCACCATCCTAGACTGTAATTCAGACTTGAAGTACATGGGTTCCAGGCTGGTTCTCCTATGTTTTCGCCATGTGAAGCTGTGCAGTCTTGGAAAGTCACAGGACCTATCTACACTGATTATGTGCAAAATTGGTCATAGTAATACCCATCTTGCCCACCTTGTGGGATTTTAAGAAATAAATGGGTAAGTGAGATAATTTGTAAACTGCAACGAGGTCACAAAAAACCCCACCTAGTTATTATTGTTATTCTTATTAATTTAGGAAAACAGTCTAGAAACTTTATGTTTTTGTTTCTCTTATATATAGAGTTAAATTGGACATTTTATAGAAAAGGATTTCTAGAGAAAGAAAACAGATAGGCAATGAAGGAGTTGAATTGCACTGAATAATCTATTGTAATCTGTGGTGAGGAGGCCTGGAAGCTGTCTACAGGTGAGCTAGCAAGTTTAAAGACTAAGTTATGGGCCGGTCGTGGTGGCTCATGCCTGTATTCCCAGCACTTTGGGAGGCCGAGGTGGGGGGATCACAAGGTCAGGAGATCAAGATCAGCCTAGGTAATATGGTGAAATCCCGTCTCTACTAAAAAATACAAAAAAAAAAAAAAAAAAAAAAAATTAGCCGGGCGAGGTGGCAGGTGCCTGTAAGTCTCAGCTACTCAGGAGGCTGAGGCAGGAGAATGGCGTGAACCCAGGAGGCAGAGCTTTCAGTGAGCCTAGATCGTGCCACTGCACTCCAGCCTGGGCAATAGAGTGAGACTCCATCTCAAAAAACAAACGAACAAACAAACAAAATAAATAAATAAAAAATAAAGATTAAGTTATGGAAGCTGAATACATATAGTAAAAAAAAAAAAAAAAAATCCTAAAAGCAAAAGACATTAATTAATTACAAAGATATTTTTTCAGAACCTGCTGTGTTCTAGGCATCAGCCAAATTACATATAATTACATTACCTTTGGAATCCTGAAACTGATTGGGCCCATCCCACAATGGGCCCATCCTACCCAAAGCTAAGGTATGAGCTCCTCCGATCACCTGTCTCTCCAATCTTTTGGTCTCCATTCAGTTTTGCCCTTCCTTCTGCTGTCTGGAGCAGTCCTCTGTCAATTGCCCATTGCCGTATCCAGATCAGCATTCTAGTAAGTAAGAGAAAAGTAAGAGTCACTCCTACATTAA